CAATCATAGCTGACTGCAGCCTTGAACTTCGGGGCTCAAACAATTCTCCCACCTAAGCCTCCCCAGTAGCTGGGACTACAGGCATGTGCCACTGTGCCTGGCTAATTTTTTTTATTGTTTGTAGAGATGGGGTCTCACTATGTTGTCCAGGATATTCTTAAACTTCTGACTTCAAGTGATCCTTCCGCCTTACCCTCCCAAAGTGCTGGGATTATAGGCATGAGCCACCACACCTGGTCCTGATTACCATTTTAAGGAAGAGGTCAGTGAGGCCCAGAAAGGCTAGGTTATTTAGCAAAGATTATATAACACAGAACCAAGATTCACATCCAGATAATTTGATACCAGAGTCTTACTCCATATCACCACTATGCTGTTTCCTAATCAATGAGTGTTTAATTAATACACGAATACAACTTCATAATAGGTGACCCTTTAAAATGGCTACCAATGTAGATCTTAAACACCAAAAAAATGTTTTGATGATCTCGGTAAGGACTACTAACTTCTGTCTAGTTACTCAGCTCTCAGTGAATATGTTATTTTATGTGTTCAGATCTTTTAAGACAGGCAGCGCTGCAGAAGGAGGCTGAACTTAAGACTAAGGGTCTGAATACTGGCTCTCACAAGTATTTACTGCTACATGATCTTGAAAATTTCTTTACACATTTTTTAAATTATTAATCAAGATGAGGGTCTCTCTGTAGCCCAGGCTGGTCTCAAACTCCTGGCCTCAAATGATCCTCCTGCCTCAGTCTCCCAAAATGTTGGAATTACAGGCTTGAGCCACTGTACCCGGCCTTGAACAATATTTTAACTTCTTCAGGTCTCAGTTTCTTTATCTCTAAAAGGGGACTAAAAATAGCTGCCACAAATGGCTGTGTCTTTTCTTCTTTCTTTCTTTTTTTTTTTTTTTTTTGAGACTGAGTCTTGCTCTTGTCGCCCAGGGTGGAGTACAATGGCACGATCTCAGCTCACTGCAACCTCTGCCTTTGAGGTTCAAGCGATTCTCCTGCTTCAGCCTCCCAAGTAGCTGGCATTATAGGGGCCAGTCACCACACCCAGCTAATTTTTGTATTTTTGGTAGAGACGGGGTTTTGCCGTGTTGGCCAGGCTGGTCTCGAACTCCTGACTTCGTGATCCACCTGCCTCGGCCTCCCAAAGTTCTGGGATTATAGGTGTGAGCCACTGCGCCGGGCCTGGCTGTGTCTTTTTAAAGAGAATTAAATAAGAATGTACGCAAAGTACCTGGCACAAATAAAATAGTATATGTTTTCCCTTTACCTCTTCCTCTCTTTCCTTTTTTCACTTTCCTTCCTTCTTTATCTGCTATTAGCCCCTTGATTTGGTAAAATTTCCTTAACTCTTCTAAGATTTATTTCCTCACCTATAAACTGAGTAGGTTAGTTATTTAGTTTCTAAGACCCTTTCCACTCTATAATTCTAATATTCAACAATTTAATAATTTAGTTTTTCCTTGTATCATAAAAATGCAACTTATAGAGGGGTGATTTGAAGTTAGTGTGGTTGATTAAGTTGTGTTTTTTCCCCCAAAAGATCCCGTCACATAGATCTTGGTTTAGATGCATCTGAATTATATAGGATGAAAACTTTATTCAGTATGCAAATAGTTTTAATATGTAAATAACAACAATATGTATCGCCTGTATCTACTTGTTATCTCCTGTTTCAGAAGATTTATGTCTCTTTCCCTTTCCTCTATGTAGGTACTACTCAGGAAGTCTGGAGGCTAAGTCAACACATCGTGAAACTCTAGGACTAATTCACACTGCAACAAAGGGGCTGATTAGAGCTTTTGAAGATGGTGGGATAGATTCTGTGATGGAATGGGAAGTGGATGAAGTGCTGAACTGGACAAACACACTGAACTTTGATGAGTAAGTACATGTTGCTATTCTTGGGGAACAAGGGCAGTCATCATATATTTTTCTAACATTTCCTATTTCCGTGTTGAATCTTGGGGCCGCAAACAATCTTCAAAGAAAAAAATCCGGAGTATAGTTTGTCTAGAAAGAACAGAAGAAAAAATGAGGGGTAAAAAATGACTGATACAAAAATAGTAAACAAAAAATTAGACTTAGGGCTCTTTATTCCTAGACTTTATTCTTATGCCTTAGTCTGCTTTGCTTCTTACTTTGGGATTTAGAAAAAAGGCTAAGAGCATGAAATTAATAATACAAAGGTTTTCTTTCATCTGTATTCCCTAACCTTTCTGTATGAGACACTAAAACGTTATAATTTTTCAGCGATGTACTGTGGCCCTTGGAAAACATTTTAAAGTTTTCTTTTGTAGTGGAAATATTTAATGTAGCCCCATTAAGGAAATGCAATCAAAACCATAATGAGATACCACTTCATACCTACTAGGAGAGCTGTAATTAAAAAGACAGATAATAAAACGTGTTTGCAAGAATGTGGAGAAATTGGAACTCTTATACACTGTTAATGGGAATGTGCAATGGTGCAGCCACTTTGGAAAACAATCTGGCAGTTCCTCAAATGGTTAAACACAGAGCTGCCATGTGATCCAGCAGCTCCACTCCTAGATATATACCCAAGAGAAGGGGAAATACACATCCACACAAAAACCTGTGCATGAATGTTCATAGCAACATTAGTCATAAATAGCAAAAAAGCAGAAATACTCCAAATGTCCATCACCTGATGAATGGCTAAATGAAATATGGTAGATCTACACAATAGAATATTATTCCACAAAAAAAATAAGTGGCCTGGGCGTGGTGGCTCATGCCTGTAATCC